GTTGGTTGAAAGCTTGACCGATTGGCCATGAGCGGTGGGACTAACTCACTCTTTGAGAGAATAATCCGCTACTCACCTTTGAATCACCCTTGCTACCTTGTGTTGACTGGCTCTCCTGGTGTTCCTGTTGAAGATTCATGCAACTAGTGAATTTTTCTCCTTCTGTGACACTTGTAGTCTGTTTATATTACTATGGGATTTGGGAAGTCCAATCGGGATTTTGTCCTGTAAATGAAGCCAGTACAGGCGGCAAGGAGAAGTATTGTACGTAACCGTCAGCACTGGCACGATATCCTGCATGAGTGGGAGTTGACCACACTGTTTATCAGCCGCCGGTGACCAAACGGAGGGTTAAGTGCTCTAGTTTTCACAGATATTTGTAAGATTCGCACTGCTGATGATTCTCAATGAGGATCAAACAGCTGTATAGTGATTCCCGACTTCTCGACTCAGATTTACCTCACTTGCTGAACAAAATGTCGGTCGGAATTCTTAACTTTCCTCATACTATCAACAACACAATAACGCTGAGCCACGCAGCTCACACACTAGGCCTTGAAAGATAAATCCATTTCCGTCGATCTGAGAAAAAACACGGTTGAAATTAGGAATAGAGTTCAAGACGCTTTCCAAAAACAGGGGGCGCGTGCTACAAGTTGGTTCCTTAGTGTCATTTTTACGGACTGCATCTGCTGCAAGACGCGTTTGAGGAAGAGGGGCACACCTAACGTTAATTGACTGAATAAGTGAGCATGCAGTACAGTTATCACGTGGTGCAAAACTTCTGTTTTCTATAATAATTTCATTGTTAAATCATGCGTTTTATTTGCTTCACACTGTATACCCAGCTTTGCCTTCAACGAAACATTAAATTTCTGCATTCATAACAATCTACCCTGCGACTGCAAACGTGTAAGAATAGTATCTGTGGGCTTTGTCACTTCATAGTGATTTAAATTAGGGGGAGCGTTACCCATAGGAAAGCAGTAGCCATTTAACAAGTTTTGAACTGTTTGCTGTGAGAAAGAAATCAATCTTGGAGAGAAGAAACAGAAGTGCGAGTCAACAGAAGCCATTACAAATCGTAGTCTATCACGCTTTCATTATAAGCATGCCTCTTGATACTCCCCCATTCCTCAGATGTGGTGAGCTATATTCATTAAGTCATTAAGAGAATAGGGTTAATGCCATCAGATTGCTTCCTGTCTATGTGCTTCAAAGATGGTAAAACAATTGTACTATTTAATATTTCACGAGAGCCGCCTATTTTGCCGTGCATTCCTGTTTGAATGGCACTGTAGATGTTTTAGCATGTCTGGTGCACTCGGACAAACTACCTCCGTTTTTCGATGCGCTCTAGTTGATTCTCCGTCTGGACGAACATTTAGCTACCGGTTGTTCTTCTCCCTTTCTGGGCGGGCTAGGCAATTATTTTTGACTTCAGTAATAGTACATACCTTTAGGATTGACCCTACTTTGAACGCGGGTTATCGAAAAGAAAGTTATCAATTTTATCAAGTGAGCCACACAGTTCCATGCGAGACTGAATATTCTGCAGTGGGGCCCAAAAAAACAAGCTCTATGGAATAAAAACCAAATTTCGCGGTTAACAACACCAGCGTTTTTCGCAATTTTCATCATAAAACCAAATAATCGCCGTAAAGCTACAAGGCAATAAAAACAATCATACGATTCCATACAATGAGTTGTAAGAATAACTCAAAATTACGAGGTGAATACAGAGAAATCAATCAGTGGACTGATTGCTTCATAGAAACTTATTCTGAAATAACTTCGTGCATAGTTCACAGAATGCCTCTCCAATACATGACTGTCGTACCACTAACTTATCCACACAGACGGATGAAAAGTGCAAACGACTTTCAAGAGGGGTCTTCACGTGAACCCAACCGGAAGGACTAGACCATAAGCTAGATCCAAATACATGTAGGCTTCTCCATCGGTCTCAACACTTGGTGACCCACCCTAACACACTCCAAATACAGGCTTCTCCATCGGTCTCAACACTTGGTGACCCACCCTAACACACAAAATCCTTTGGCCGATATCGAACACAGATTTAGCTAGCTTTAGTTGATTGGTTATCTTGCGGAATCGTGAGCGTGCGGCCAAGAAAAAAAGACAGACCAAAACTTCACTGACCTTTCGCATAATTATGCACGCAGATAAAGCAGGTCAGGTACTCTTAGTTCACTAAAACTTAGGCACCAACCAACAAGAAACCTCGGAATATTCTCACGATTCTAGCGAACGTAACAACTGCTAGTTAATTGCTAGTTAATACCCTACCTAGATTTCTGCAGTTAGTGGTGATGCACCCCGCTTTGGTGTTTCAGAAATCCGACGGTCGCCAGAAACGGCGGAAGAAGTTTGTTCGCCGGATTCATCTAGCACATTTCAAAATTTAATAACCTCTTTTTATGTAATAAGGTAAGTTGCCAGTGAATTTTCTTTTTCCAGAAATGTTGGTGGTTTGAGTTTGGCTTTGGTAAATCAATGTTGCACAACAAACTATCGTAACCAGACTGAGTTACACAATGAGCACAGAGCTCATCATAACAGTGTCATCATAGTTGAAGTGCCAACATTTCCTGTTGCGCTGAACAGGAGTTTGGGGTTGTAAACTAATCAGAGCCTAAACTGAACTTCGAATAGTCTGCAGTGGATGTGATTTTAGAAAGAGTCAGTTGCTTGAGACGGTGTTCAAAATCCTACCGTAATATTCCAACCGGTTGTTTCTGCTTCCCTTGAAAACGCCGTTCGACTCTCGATGCACCATCACTCGTGAATCTTGGTGCATTCAACGGCGAATCTCTCTGACAGCATGACGATGCGTGCAATCTCTGGAACCTTGGTCGTTTGGAGCATGGGTACTACTTAAACTACATCCAGTCAAAATCCCACGTGACAGTGCACGGAGGGTGATCCGTGTTGCATAACAAATGGTTCCAGTGTCCTTGAATATCTAAATCTTGAAGGCTTCACAGGTTAGTTCTGTATTTTCAACC